TAAACACAAAATAATATTTTTAAATCTCACAAGCCTAAATAATATTTTTCTTACCAAAACAACCAATTAACTATTGGTTGTTTTGGTAAGAAAAATATTATTTAGGCTTAGGAGATTTAAAAATAAATTTGTAAGTTTTCTAGATATAAATTTTTTTATAAGGTTTTTCTGGTAATTATCCCTAAAAAATGATGAACATAAAAAGAAAGAGGGATATTAGGGAAATAAAAAAAAATGCTAGAGAAAAAAAAAGAAAAAAAAGGAAAAAGAGAGAAGGAAAAAAGGAAAGAAAATTTTTAGGTGAAAAAAAGAAAAAAAAAGAAAATGCTAAAAGAAATTAACAAAGTCTCCTATCTAATATGCACTCGTTATTAGTAAAAAAGAAAAAGAAAATACTTTAATAATTAGGTAGTTCTCCGACATACCAACTATGTCGAGATTTAAAGTGGATTCGATGCTGAATTGACTTGTCTCCGAATGATCGATTCAATATGATGTCACAAATAAAACTAAAAAATTTTATTTGGCCTAGAAAAATTTAAAATTTAAATCGAAAATAATTTGTTAAAAATAAAATATCTTATGAGATAAATATTAGGATTAAGTTAGATATGATATCTTTTTTTAAAAAAATATTTTTGGATAATCAATGTCTTGTCAAATATAAAATTAATTTTTTATCTTAAAATCTTCGTAATAATATTATTTTTAGGTTTTTGTTTCTTACCATAGTAATTAACCATTTTTAAAATTAATAATAACTTACACTGTTGTGAATAATTCAAATAAAGAATCTTGCCGCATGTCAGTAGCACACATGCTAACCAAGACTTCCGCATCCCAAAAGATCATCCTGTACCCATATGATAGATGTGTGTGTCCCCACATGAACCGTGATTCATTGGTTACTGCCAGTTAGTTCAGAAGAAGATAAGATGGTCCTCATCTTCTTTAATTATTGGATTTATCTCAGGTACCTCTTACCATATCTCCTGCTTTCGTCATTTAATTGCATTTATGGTGAGGGATATTTTTTTTTAAATGATGTCTTTTTAGGGTGAAAATCATCTCCTATCCTTATATTATTCAATATTAGAGGTGAGAAAATGGTTCGATTAATCAAAAATCGAATTAAATCGAACCGAATTATATATTTTGGTTCGATTTTAAACTTAAATTTATAAAATTAAAAACCGAACGAAAAAACCGAAATTATTTCACTAAATTGACTAATTTCACTAAATCAAAATCAATTTTTAGCGGCGCCTCCCTAGCTCCCTATCCTTCGCTCCATCTTCTCCGGTTCTCCTTCATCATCACTTCATCGAGCCGGATGAGGTATTCATGAATTCTAAGATTTTTAATTTGGTCAACTATCAACTCGAAAAAATTAAATAAAGTAGATGCAAGTTGATGACTAATCGCAATCAATTGTCTTTTACAAGTTCAGCTTGTTTCTTTGCAAGACAATAAAATGAAATTAACTTACTATTGCAAGATGGTTTTAGGTCTCTGTGAGCTTGAATTTTACAAACCGAAAGAAAGTCGTTTTAATTTCTTTTCTACCGCACAAAATTGCTAATGAAAATCTTTTGGACTACATTTTTTAGTAGGAATGATGATTGTAAAATTATTAGGGATTTATACATATTGGTAACCTTTACCTTGCTTTATATATCTTGTTATGATAGTGATTGATGTTGAAAAATTATAATCTTCAACGAGTGACTAATTCGGTCTAACATTTTGTTTCCTGCGGTTTATTCCCAATGGCTTTTTAGCAAGATAAGCAAGGAGATCATAGAGGTCAAATCAAGAATTAGGATGTTGTCGGTGCTTGATGAGTTCGGAATAAGCAAAAGAAGGAAGACAACTACATTTTTTTTTCTTCTCTCATTTAGGACATTCAGGTGTGTCAACTATGATTAGGTAGTCGCAAAAGATATTTCCTAAGTAAGGGCTTTGTTTTTTTATTGTCTTTTTTTTTTTTTTTATAGTAAATGGTGAAAATGATGGTGGCTTAGGACGGATAATGAAAAAATGGTCTAGAATTTTTTTTTCAGTAAAACATTTCGGTTAAAACCGAAATATTTTGAAACCAAACCGAAATAATTTGGTTACAAACCGAATTTACCGAATTTATTTTGGTTCGATTTTGGTTTTTATTTTCCTTGATTCGGTTAACCGAAAACCGAACCGAATCGTACAAAACCGAACCATTTAACCGTTTGCTCACCCCTATTCAATATCGTTTATTTTAAATTTTCTATTAAGATATGACACAAAACAAGAAAATCATGTTAATTTTCGTGTTATAACATATTTTCTTTGTTAATTTTGGCCAAATGCATCGAATTGCTTTTCCTTTTTTTTTTTTTTTCCTTCTGATTTCAAGAGCAACAACACTTTCAAGAAAAAAAAATTAAAAATAAATGAAATATTGAATTACCGATAAATTTGAATAACAAACATAACATGTATTTTGAAGTCATCATTGCAATTCATTCAATTATTTTTATTTTATCCATCATTATATATTCACATAGATTATATATTTTTTTAGTTTGCATTGTAAATTTAAAATATACAAAATCTATTGAAAACTTGAAAAATATTTATTTGTTTAACATAACAACGTAGACGAAAGCTTTTTAATATATCTCTAACCATATGAAACGATATTTTATTATTTCATAACTTTAAATATATTAGATTATAATTTAATTATTATGAAAAAAGAAAAAAAGAGAACCAAAAAAGGAAAGAAAATTTTTAGGTGAAAAAAAGAAAAAAAGAAAACGCTAAGAGAAATTAACAAAGTATTCTATCTAATAGTGACTCGTTATTAGTAAAAAAAAAAAAATTACTTTAGTAACTAAGTAGTTCTCTAATATACTAGCTATGTGGAGACTTAAAGTGAATTCGATGTTGAATTGATTTGTCTCCCAATGATCGATTCAATATGATGCCACAAATAAAACTAAAAAACTTTATTTGACCTAGAAAAAATTAAAATTTAAATCGAAAATAATTTGTTAAAAATAAAATATCTTATAAGATAAATATTAGGATTATATTAGATATGATATCTTTTTCGAAAAAAATATTTTTAGATAAACGATATCTTATCAAATATGAAACTAATTTTTTACCTTAAAATTTTTTTGATAATATTATTTTTAAGTTTTTATTTCTTACAATATTAATTGATAACTTTTAAAATTAATAATAACTCACACTGTTGTGAATAATTCAAATGAAGAGTCTTGCCGCATGTCAGTAGCACACATACTAACCAAGACTTCCGCATCCCAAAAGATCATCCTGTACCCATATGATAGATGTGTGTGTCCCCACATGAACCGTGATTCATTGGTTACTGCCAGTTAGTCAGAAGAAGATTAGATGGTCCTTATCTTCTTTAATTATTGGATTTATCTCAGGTCCCTCTTACCATATCTCCTGCTTTCGTCATCTAATTGCATTTATGGTGAGGGATATATTTTTTAAAAATGATGCCTTTTAGGGTGAAAATCATCTCCTATCCTTATATTATTCAATATCGTTTAATTTAAATTTTCTATTAAGATATGACACAAAACAAGAAAATCATGTTAATTTTCGTGTTATAACATATTTTCTTTGTTAATTTTGGCCAAATGCATCGAATTGCTTTTCCTTCTTTTTTTTTCCTTCTGATTTCAAGAGCAACAACACTTTCAAGAAAAAAAATTAAAAATAAATGGAATATTGAATGACCGATAAATTTTAATAACAAACATAACATGTATTTTCAAGTCATTATTACAATTCATTCGATTACTTTAATTTTATCGATCATTATATATTCACATAGATTATATATTTTTTTAGTTTACGTTGTAAATTTAAAATATACAAAATCTATTGAAAAATATTTATTTTTGATTGAAAACTTAAATAATATTTATTTGTTTAACATAACAACGTAGACAAAAGCTTTTTAATATATCTCTAACCATATGAAACGATATTTTATTATTTCATAACTTTAAATATATTAGATTATAATTTAATTATTATGAAAAAAAGAAAAAAAATAAAGGTAGGTCTAGCATAATAATAGATGTGAGTTGAATAAGAAAATAAAAAAAAAGGTGGGAACTTTAAATTATCTATATTTCAAAGACTTCAAAGTCTTGATATATATATATATATATATTTATTAAAAACTTCGAGCTCATATATGTTTTTTTTTCTCACAAATCTAGTTTTTTTTTTTTAGTAAAATAAATTTGAGTTTCAACAACATACAAATGTAATGATTTAATTTTATGTAGGAAAAAAAAAAAAGGAGAGTAAGTTCTAAGTCCGAATCAAAGAAAATCTAATCATATACACACACACTAGATAACGTGGATACGACACAAGCATGTATAGTCTAGTGAGTATATATCAGATAGTTTTTTTTTTTTTAGTAATATAAATTTGAGTTTCAACGAATTTAAGTTATTTAATTATTATGTAATGAAAAGAAATTATTCTGATCATGTATAAAACTCAAACCTCGCGATTCTTCTATTTTTTTATTTTTTATTTTTTTAAAAAAAGCTAAACGTGGACACCTATATATAACCTTTCAAAGATTTTATCCTTATAATTTGGTTTGAATATTTTTTTTAAAAAAGCTAAACGTGGATACCTATATATAACCTTTCAAAGATTTTATCCTAATAATTTGGTTTGAATATTTTATAAGTTAAAAAGGACAGAATTTGTTACCTTAAATAATTCAAAAATAAAAGGAATAACGCAAATTAAAACCACACCGAGAGATTAATTTAACAAAGATGCAAGATTACAAATCCAAAAACATAGAAAGATAAACAATGACACAGAAACCTGATCATGGTTCAATGCCATTACATTATTATCCATTACTTCAATACGTACATTACTCCAATAATTCCTTCATTACCAGGATACATATTTGTGGATCATGAGCAGTGCAGCACATCACATTACTCATTTCTTAATCCGTTAATATCGTCTTCGACTTTTCTAAATGAAACCAATAATGGTGCCTCTGTCATAGCCAAACGTCTAGCTCCAAATAGACTGTCATCGACACCAACATCACTGATATAGCCAAAGCCACGAACCACGAAGAAGGCTTGTAGCTTGTAGTTGGAAGTCAATATTCCTCCCTCGTTGATCAGCCTGAATTCAGCGTTTCTATAATCTTTTGCTCCACCAATAGTCACAAAAAGGCTTGCTGATGTTGAGGACTCATCTTCTTCAACTATCCATGTGGTTGATTCAGCACAACTAGATTTGGTATCAAAACTGATGGATATTGGTGTGGAATCCGTAATTACATTTTCCTCATCATAAGTTGAGAATATTACTGGGATACCATTATCAAAAGGGTTTCGTAGTAAAGTTACATCAGTTGGGCAGGTATCGTTCTTAACTTTGTCTAGGCTGACACCACCACCAAGAGGGAAGATAGCTGACACTATATAATATGGAGTACCAGCGCGAAGCTCGTCGCCTTTAAGGTCACGTAATGCATTTCCTGAAGCTTTAGCGCCTTTAAGGTCACGTAATACATTTCCTGAAGCTTTAGCTGCTTCGGAAAACAGTGTTATCATGGAGGTTGACAGAAGGAAGGAGAGAGCTAGTAACATAGGCTTCATTGTTATAGCTATGGCTGATATTTCTTTTCTTGTGGTGTGGAATCGAGCGGACACAAGGTTGCTTTTATAGAGCTTAGGACTGCATGGGTTTCTATTATTTGTCTCAACAACTCCATTCTTTAATGCCGAAGGTTCCATTCATTGTTGGCACATACATTGGCACACTGCAACACACACACTATCGTAAGGACAAAGGATATAATAAAAAAAATGAAAGCAAAATATATATTTATTATTCATAATACTGTTCATACACTCATAACTCATTATTTATATATTCATAAATTACTATTCTTTTAACTATTCATCGTATTTTTTTAATACTTTGATCCTTAATTTTTCTATATATTTTTTTTCAATTTCAAACTTTAATTGTCTTGTGATTTAGTCCCATTTTATTTTAGAATTTTTTATTAATTATTTTTATTATTTAAAATTTACTACTTTAATTTGTAATTTTTAAAAAATTCTTCTTCAATTAATTTAAAATTATATGGTCCTCAATTGTTTTATATATATATATATATATATTTTTCAATTTCAAAATTTAATTGTAATGTGATTTGATTACATTTTTTTTACTCGTTTTTTGTTAATTATTTTTATTATTTAAAATTTACCATTTTAATTTATCAATTTTTTTTTAAATTCTCATCCAATTAATTTAAAATTATATTTACTAATAGTTATGATTTATTTTAATATTATTCATTCTTACGTAAATAAATATATAAAAGTTCAATTCACATTTTTTTCAAAAATCAATATTCTTATCAATATTAAATAAAAAAATTTTATACTTTTTTTTCAATTTCAAACTTTAATTGTATTGTGATTTGGCCTCATTTTGTTTTAGTATTTTGTTTTTCAATTTTAAACTTTAATTGTATTGTGATTTGGTCCCATTTTGTTTTATTGTTTTTTTGTTAATTATTTTTATTTTGTAAATAAATATATAAAAGTTAAATTCACATTTTTTTTTCAAAAATTGATATTCCCATCAACATTAAATAAAAAATTAATAATACTTTTTTTAAAAAAAAAATCAAACTTTGATTGTACTTGTGATTTGGTCCCAATTTGTTTTAGTTTTTTTTGTTAATTATTTTTATTATTTAAAATTTACTACTTTAATTTGTCATTTTTTTAAATTCTCATCCAATTAATTTAAAATTATATTTATTGACAGTTTTGATTTATTTTAATATTATTCATTATTTTGTAAATAAATATATAAAAGTTAAATTCATTTTTTTTTCAAAAATCAATATTCTCATCAACATTAAATAAAAATTTTCTCTACCTTTTTCTTTTTTCAATTTCAAATTTTGATTGTATTGTGATTTAGTCCCATTTTGTTTTAGTGTTTTTTGCTAATTATTTTTATTATTTAAAATTTACTACTTTAATTTGTCTTTTTTAAAAAAAATTTCTCATCCAATTAATTTAAAATTATATGGTCCTCAATTTTTCTATACTTTTTTTTTTCAATTTCAAACTTTAATTGTATTGTGTTTTGATCCTATTTTATTTTAGTATTTTTTGTTAATTATTTTTATTATTTAAAATCTACTACTTTAATTTGTCATTTTTTTTTAAAATTATCATCCAATTAATTTAAAATTATATTTACTGATAGTTTTGATTTATTTTAATATTATTCATTCTTTTGTAAATAAATATAGAAAAGTTTAATTCATTTTTTTTCAAAAATCGATATGCTCATCAACATTAAATAAAAATTTTTTATACTTTTTTTTTTAATTTCAAAATTTAATTGTATTGTGATTTTGTCCTATTTTGTTTTATTTTTTTATTAATTATTTTTAGTACTTAAAATTTACTATTTTAATTTGTTATTTTTTAAAATTCTTATCCAATTAATTTAAAATTATATTTACTTGACGAGTTTTGATTTATTTTAATATTATTCATTCTTTTGTAAATAAATATATAAAAATTAAATTCATATTTTTTTCAAAAATCAATAATCTCATCAACATTAAATAAAAATAAAAAAATTATTTATTCAATTCTATGTAAGCTTTTAATAATTTTTATTTTGTTTTTTGACACAATCTCATGAAATAATTCATGGATTAACAAGGATAAATCTTTTTTTTAAAATGAAAATTATGAAAAATCAAAATAAAAAATAGTTAAATACAAAATTTTTGATTAAAAAATTATAAATATTTTTTTATATATTTGATTTTATATATTTTTTTAGATTTATACTATAAAATCGATTATGAAATTAAAATAAAATTTTTAAATAATTTTATATATTTTATCTAATATAGAACGTAGCAGGGGCTAAAAATTTAATCAAACATTAAATCATCACACGTATACCGGAGTGCAGGAAACATGGAGAAGGCAAATCTGTCCCATCTATCAGTTCCAACAGATTAGAGGTGCTGACTGCCAGTAAGATCAAGAGCCTGCAAATGATACGGACAATTAATCTGCTTATGGGCCATACTTGATGGGTTTTATATCCTATCGTTGATTGAACTATGGATTTTGAGGCCTGCTTGATGAGTGGAGTAGTAAACAACCTCGAATCATTGGATCCATTGAAACAAGTGAAGGCCTTACGTGGACTTGGTTACTGCTATGGCCGGTAGGAAGAATAACCTCAACTATTACTTATGTTCAAAGGATTATTTAGTTAAGCATACCCAGTCTAATCTCAAAAGAAAGCCTTTCATCCTATCTCATAAGCTAAATATAAGAAAGATTTTGAACTTGAAACTCAATCATGACGTATCTCATCTACAGTCCCCTTTACTTCCGGCTTCCACAAGTTCTTGAATTTCAAAATTGCAATATACAAATGGCAAATTTGCATTTTGACAGCAAGATCTCCAACATAGCCAATAGATGAGAAAGCAAAATTGATTAGAGGCTCAGCTCAACAACTCAGCATTGTTTCTTGAACCCAGCCCTCAACTTTAATTTGTCAAAATTTGCAAAAAAAATTCTTTGGCAACACCAAAACGACATACATGCTACTTCTGTATCGCTAATTGCCTCACCACTTGGTTACACCACAACCGTTAGTTTAAGCATTTTGGTCATCAATAAATTCATTGAATGATAAATAGATTCAACTGAATCCTCCAATTAGCTTTTGCTTAATTACTTTGCCCTCATTGACTTCAAGAATAAACAAAATAAATTAAAATAAGTTAATAATAATACTTCACTAATTCATCTTATTTAGCAATAAATCATTACATAGTCCAGCTCCGATTCCCACCACGTCTTGGAGAAAAAGAATCTTGAAATCTCCTCAATCCTTGGAGAATCTTCTCCAATTCTCTCCAGTACTGGGAAGTAATTATGATAAAAAGGAATTGGAAGGAGTGCTTTTGTATGTCTTATTGATGAAGCAGGGAAAGCAAAATCACAGGAAATGTTAAAATTCACGACACTAACCCACTAAAAGCACACCAACTTAGACCTTAAGAAAAGATTAGTAAAAAAATATATGCCGGCAGAAGATTAGACCCCACCACACAGGAGGGACAATCCAGCGGTGGCGGCGGGGGCCCCGCCTTGCCCTCAACCTTTAGCAACTTTAAGTGTACACGAAGAATGTTTATTGTGATAATACTTAATCCAGTTTCCTTTGGTCTCTACGTGGCTGAAAGACGTCCTTAGAAATTATCTAATGATCATTATGGTGCCAAGCAATTTTTTCTTTTTCGTCATATTAGTTGTCGCTACCGGCTCTCAAAACATTAGTAATTATAGGAATTTATTTGTTAAAAGAGAAAAAAATTAAGAAAAAAGTTTTAGAGTCGTCTTCAAGTATTAAATGAATTACAAACCTAAAATAGACATTAGTTTAGAGATTTTCGGATAAAGAATTAGTTATGTCGTTGAAAAAATATCAATCACCCAAAAATATTTTTTTTCTAAAAAAATATCACGTCTATTTAGTCCTAAAAGTTTATCTCCTAATTTATTATTATTATTATTATTATTTGCTAAAATATTTCGAGTCAATTTTCAAATTTATTATTTAAAACAAATTTTTTTTTTTAATTTTTGTTTGTGACATCGAGCGCTACGTCAATTCAACATTAGATCTAGTTTAAATCTCGACATAATCGATATGTTGGAGAATAACCTAATTATTAATGATATTCAAAGTTTGACTTGTACTTACATTCGTTAATTTCTTTTTTCTTTCTCTTTCTTTCTTTTTTTTTTTTTGGACCAAGGTGTTGAGACTAACGTCCGTTGCTATTAAATAGGAGACTCGTTAGGTTGCCTTGATTTTATTAAATAACTAAAATATAAATTTTATTAATTATAACCAAGATTCTATATGAAATCGTCGTCGATCCCTAGAATATAAGAGACTCGACAATTTCATAACCTACACAATAAACATAGTAGTAATCAAAATAAATTCAAATAAAATACCAAAATATATCTTAAAATTATGAAATCTTATACATGACTAAGGGACGAGTAGGATATGCTCATATGAAAAAAAAATTAAAATGTAAGCACATTTGAGGGCATGCCAAATATGTAAAATACCAACAACAATTAATTTCGAGTTTGGCAAAATATTGTCGCTACTAGTCGACAAAATGATTTAAATGAATAACCATTCTATGTAAAGAAAACCCGAAATTTCACAAAACGATTATTGACAAATAGATGATATTCATTCAAAAAAATCAAGAGATAAAAAATATTTAAGACTACTTAAACATACTACACATGACAAAAATTATTTCTAACTTGAGAAATCACTGTTGTTGAAAAACTAAAATGACTTAAAAAGATGGCCATCATATGTCATAAAAATTTAAAATTTCACATATGGATGGGAGACACATAGATGGTGCCCATATAAAAAAATCAAAAAGTAAAAGCATCTAGGAATGTATCAAACACGTAACACACAACGAGTAACCAACTTGAAGTTGAAAAATCAATACTATAGGAGCCAAAAACATAATTTAAATGGATAACCATCGTATATCATAAAGATACAAAATTTCATAAATAGATAGGATATCGAGTAGATGGTGTTATAATAATAATAAAAATTAGTTTATAAAAACATTCAATACTATATCAAACATGTTAAATATGGGAGTAGTTATTTT